GWAGTAGGCAATGATCTTGGGTACTGCTGGTTGGTGACAATCATGTTCAAAGGCACCCTGGACTTGGTGATTGCAGTGTGGGAGCTCCTCCCTTGGGGCATCCACACCAGTGGAGTTTACACCCTCCTTGCACCAAGTCCAGGGGCGGGGTAGTGCAAAGGTGCTTGGCATAGTCAAGAGTAGATGGAGGACTTCCTTCTGGGTGGTGCGGTTGAGAATAGTAGCATGTGTTTTGCTGAACAGGATATCATAGCTGTGATGTGTGAGCTTAGGGATAGAAATCAGGGGGAGATGGAGCTCTTGTTGATCCTTAAACTTGTGGCATGTGTGTGCAGCAATAGGTAGGCTGTGCCACACAATGATGTTGGTGCTGATTGCTTGCACAGTGCTGCTGTTGGCACACCCAACCGTGATGACAACATTGGTGGGTGTGGGTTTGTTACCCTGATTAAAAAAAAAATCTTAATATTATTTTTAACCTCGTGAACTAGAAGAGGCACTATATGGCCAGAACCACAGCTTTTGTTAGAAAGAATGCTCCTAGCTGCTCCGAGGGGCGGYACTTCCCTCCGAGGAGTGTTAATGGAAGTGCGACCAGGGGTTTGKTTCACTGGAATTAAAAGTATTGACTGAGCTTGGTTTGAAGTAAACTGGAAGAATTGACAGGAGGAGCCAAAGAAGTCTCTGGCACGACAGGTTGTTTGTGTCGCTWCTTTTTGGAGTAGGCRTCAAAGACCAGTGAATCTTGTGTGACGCTCTCCGGTGGTTGCTTACTATGTGGCAATGATGTAAAGTACTGGGTAATTGGGCGGGTGTTGGAGACAGAGGCAAGTGTTGCTTTGGTGACACTCGCCAGAATCGTTGTCTCATAGACGGGAAGGTAATATGTGAGCATGGAAGTAGATGCAGTTGATAAAAAGGTTTCCATGTCTTCTGGGAAGAGGTGGGCGTGGGATGGACATGTTTGTGATTTCAGCTCAAACAGAGTGCGGACTTTCGTCACCACCCTCTGTCGATGCTTTGCTTGCTTCTGAGTAAGTGTGTAGCCATGAAGATCTTTATTTCGCTATTCCCATAATGATATATATGAGGTAAGAAAGAATTCCACAAGATAACCCCCCAACACGAGCGGGGAGGGTTTGTTACCCTGATAACTCTCAGGGAGGAAGTGGTCAGTTGTGCCAGAGTCAAGGATGCCACCACCAGTGATGGGGGCTGGAGTGGGTATGCCAAGAATGAGTACAGTGGCAATGGGTGTGGCAAAGTGCACTTTACAAAGTGGTTAGCTAGGCTTGGGG